CAACTACAACAAAGAGACTCGCAATAAGAATCACGGAGGAAAGGACGTCGGCCAGAAAGACGGCATACCAAAGAAATCGGACCGAAGCGGGTATTGTAACGAGGACGACCTCCAGGTATAGAAAGATAGATGCCTGCGGAGGGATAAAGAGGTGAAAGAGATGGCGAATAAATTGGTAGACCTGTAATCAGTCATCAATTTTGTGATGCAAAACAACGTCATGCAGCCACCGTTCCCGCTGCAGGACATGCCGATTCCAGTGGCCAATGCCCAGAAAGGAGGGCAGAAAACAGTCCCTGCAGTCCCCCAACACACCAAGAGGGAAGAACACTCTCACCGACCTTCAAGGGAGGTCGGGCGAGGAGGGTCGAGAAGAGAAGAATCTCAAAGGATACACCGCACCAAGGAAGAAGACCCCAAAGAACATCGGCATGTTTAAGGGCAGGAGCTGTGCTTCAACACAACTAATGAAGAAAGGTCAAAAAAGGCTTACAACGATGCTGAGAACAGTGCACCGAAAAGATTAAAATCAGGAGATAGCCGAGCTCTTGGGCGGACCAAGGAGGACTTGAGAAATCACCTAAAGAAGAAGCAACAAGATGCCGAGGTAATCTCCCCGGTCAAGCCGAGAACGCCGTTCTCGGTAGAATTGGACAAATTGGAAGCCCCGAAGAGGTTTAGCATGCCAAGATTCCAGATCTACGACGGTAAGTCAAACCCGAACTTACACGTTGGCTTGTACCTAAACTCGATGGCATTATACACCGAGAACGAGCCGTTGCTCTACAAGGTGTTCCCCTCGTCCTTTGGGGAAATTGCATTAAATTGGTTTCACAAGTTGCCGAAAGGAACTGTGAAAACCTAGGAAGGCCTGGCCGAGATGTTTGTGGCCAGGTTCGTGAAAAACAAACGATAGCCATTGAGGGTAGACGCCTTAATGGACCTGAAGATCGGCAAGGATGAAAGTCGTAGGGCCTACGCCAAAAGGTATTATGAGGTATTCAACCGAATATCAGGATGCAACCAAGAGGTGGCGGTCATGTCATTTAAAAATGGCTTGAAAGATGACAGTCTGCTTCGAAAATCATTGGCAAAGACATTACCAAAAAGCATGGAGGAGCTGATGGCCAGGATAGAAAAGTATTCCAGAGCCGAGGAAGACACGCCGGGAACAAAGGCGTCTAAACGAGAGAAGAGAAATGGTTCGCCGAAGCAAAGCCGAGATAATACTGGACACGAGAAGACAAGAGCTTAGCCTAAGTGAGCAGATCCCAGATTCCAGATCTGGAATCCTAGATCCGAGAAGACAAGATATCGGCTTAGATGATTAAGTCCGAGAAGAGAAGAGCATGGCCTAAGTAAAAGAATTTTTTCCATAAAGGAGTATGTGGAAGCCATGCAGGGGGCAGATCCCCTGCCCATAGAGCAATATCAAGGTCAAAGCCACGTGCCTAATGAGAACTCAAGTGGAAATTAAGTTCACATTAGGGGGCAAAGGGCTAAAGAATGGTGCTTGGGAGTTGGAATTTCACAAGCCGAAATGCTGTTTAACACTTGTTGAAACTTAAAAAAAGTTTACAAGTTGAAGTTAAACCGAAATGATGTTTAACACTTGTTGAAATTCTAAGAGAATTTATAAGTTGAAGTTAAACCGAAATGATGTTTAACACTTGTTGAAACTTGAGAAAAGTTTACAAGTTGAAGTTAAACCGAAATGATGTTTAACACTTGTTGAAATTTTGAGAGAATTTACAAGTTGAAGTTAAACCGAGAAAAAAGATTGATTTAACACTTGTTGAAATTTTGAGAAAATTTACAAGTTCAAGTTAAATCCAAGGTGATGAGTGAAAGAAGTATCTATACACGTGCCGATGTGACTATGTTACCAAGACTTGGAAGATAATGGAAGACAAAAGTCTTAAGAAGTAAAAGCAACACTTGTGAAAATATTTGTTATAATGTTTTCAAGTGTTAAACCAAGGCCGAGATAAACAAGACTAGAAGTTGTGTCCGAGGTATTTTACCTCAAAGAGATTACACAGTGAAGGTGTACCTTGAAGACATGCAAATTATTTTAAGTATAGAATGCATTCAGAAAAGGAAATAAGGCACTTTGGCCTAACATTAAAGAATAAATTGTTTGAGTAACAAAAAAAGTACAAGGTACAAAGACAATACATGTTCAGTACATGGTGAAGATCAAGATACAAGTTAAATGATCAAAAGACATGAACGAGTAAAGCAATGAAGCCGAAGTAAAGTTTGCCGGGATCAGACGGTGGCCATAAGCAAGGAAGTGCAGCAGAAGCCTCGCCAGAGGGGAAAGTGAAACTGGTTGCAGAAAGCTTCGCAAAAGCAGCAATAGAGGATTTGAAAGAGAAAGTTTAAACAAAAACGAAGATGCAGAAGTGAAAAGACGGAGAGAGTGAAGAGATTTTGATCAAATACGCAGATGCAAGGCGACTTAATGACGCATATCAGACACGGCTCAGTAAAGGAAAGATGCGTGGCAGAAATGGTTGAAAAATTGTACGTACCAGCTCATACGCATGAAGAAAACTCTTGAAGTTCTTAATTTAATACCTTGGCTAGAAGGACAGTTTCCGCTGAGAAACTTGAATGAATTTGGTTGTTGGTTCCAAAGCCTTGATGAAAGCAGACTATAGGTCTGGGACATATTGAGTCGACGAGTTCTGACTTCGGCAATAAATGATGAAGCAAGCTTAGCCAATGTGCTAGATGAAAGAGATAATATAGGTTCCATCACCTCAGTTTGCCGAGGTAATAGAACCTAGGAGGCAGTTGTGGGGACATATTTTTTGGGTAGTCCACGTGGGCGAGGTTGTTAGCCAAGGTGCTACGTGGGCAGATCATGTTTATCGAGATATTTGGGACACTACCGAGGTATTCTGCGGCAATACCGGAATCTGAGATAAGCGGAGAAGGGACAAGAGTCCTAGAATGGGAGAAGACTTCAGTTTGGAAAAAGATAAGACTCTTAGAGAGTTTATCCTAATCCTGCTGGGAGTCCAAGATTAACAGTAATCCTAAGTCCATTAGAGCTAGGCTTCTATTGGGACTAGGATTGAGTTTGCTATAAAAGAGAGGCACCCCCATGGGTTTAAGGTATGTCTTTTATGCTCTGTCTAGTGAGTTAAGCATTATTGGTTATCTTTGAGAGATATTGAGTACTAACTTGATCGTCGGAGTGCTCCTGGGTAGACGAGCCACCGCCGAAATCTCTTCTTTCTGTTGCAGGTTGTTCGGGCTTAACCTATTCTGCCGGTGTTCTCCAGTTGAGTACTAAGTTGGCAGTGTGGTCAGAAATTGACACACACAGTAGGTTTTAAAGGTGGAATTTGGGGAAGATGGATGGGTGGTGGTGATGGAGATGGGTGTTCTCATAAACCCTAATTCATGCTGTAGTGGGTGTGTAGGTTTAATTGTGAGATGGTGTGTCCCAAATTAATGATGTCCTTTTTAGTAATTTTATTTGAGATTATTATTGTAATAAAAAAAGAGTTAAAAATTAGGGGATTCAAAATAATTTATGAAGTACTAATAGTAGCACTCTTAGTCAGCATAAAACTGAATTATATGGGCTCAACTCATGATCAATGTAATTAAAACTTGTTTGAGATACCCTCAAAAGGTAACCAAATAAAGTTTACGTAAAGTTTGACAATTATTATAGTAGTTTCGTTTTATTACTTTTTTCATAAAAAAAATTGAGTAATGTTACAAATTTCAAAATTTCTATCAAATATCTCACATAGGTATGGTAAAAATTTTGGTAGAACTTTTGAGATCTCTAGCATTTTTGAAAAATTTACTCCATCAGTTAAATATTAGTCTCTTTTAGATGATCTAACTTTTTTTAGTAGTATAATTATTACATTTCAAAATTATCTTTGACTTTTTTTTGGGAATATCAATTATCATAATTAATAAACTTAAAAGAAAGGCAAAATAAAAAATTATTTTAGTCCTTGTTTTTAAAAAAATGGTTTGATATTCTGGAACAATAAAAAATAGAATAAGAGACTAATATTTTAGAACAAAAATATTACTTATTTAGGAAGTGCTAGATTAGTATATTTTTTGATTTTTTATGAAAAAAATGAGAAATGTGGGTTGGGGTTGAAGTGATATAGTAGATAATGATGTGACCCATATAAGAGGTGATATAATCTACATAAAATGATTGTAACTTAAATAAGATAATGTGCTAAAACAGCATGTCATGCCAAACAAGCTCCTAAGAAATACAAAGTAGAACTTTAAAAAACATTCTAAATTTATGTTTGGAACATTTAGAGCATCTTCAATGGGTTAGCTAAAAGTGACAAAAAGTAATAAAAATGGGACTTATTTGTGTGTACACTACAAGAAATAACACATTTGCCGACCAAAAAATTAGTCGATAAAAGCCCATTTTTAGTCGGCAAAAGTTATTTGCGACCAATTTTTTTGGTTGCCACTTTGGTCGCCAATTGAGGGTCGGCAAAAGTAATTAGTGACCAAAACTTTTGTTAGTCGGGAAAAGTTAGATTTGCCGACTAAATTTTTGTTCGCTAAATATATCATTATTGCGACTAATCCATTTAGTTGCTAAGACACTTTAGTCGTGAAAAGTAACATATTCCCGACCAAACATGTTAGTCGCCAATTGTCACATTCCACGACCAAAAAATTCGATCGCCAACTATCACATTCCACGACTAAAAAGTTTGGTCGCCTATTGTGACATTCAACAACCAAAAATTTTAGTCGCCAATTGTAATATTCCACGACCAAAAATTTTGGTCGCTAATTGTGACATTCTACGACGTCTTAGTTTAGTTGCCAATTGTCACATTCCACGACCAAAAAGTTTGGTCGCCAAAAGGAATGTTTGCGCCAATATACAACAAAATAAACCTATAATTTATAATAATCTATCCAATCCATTCAATACAATCTATAATTTACAAAAATCAATCAAACCAACAATTCACCTGAATCATGAACATTTAACAAAATATATAAATCATTAAATTCTGAACTTGTTTAATTAAAGTTAGCAACTATTACAAATTTTCTTCCACAAGTAATTCCAAACTACATATTCCTTCAATTAAAAATCCACTTGTAATCTATATAATCATCCAATTCACATCCATCTAGCATTAAAATTTAAAACATATTTCCCAAGTGCAGAGTAGAACTCCTTTTCCAGAGCATCAATAGCTTTCATTGATTGAGCAGAAAGAAAATTCTTCTAGCAGTATTCATATCTAGCTACGTCTCTTTCAGCTTCTTTCCAGCCCTCATAAGCCCGGACAAGAGCAAGGTGATCATTGTAATCACATGAAAATTGTGCTTTTGGTGCTTCTGCTAGCTGCAAAGAGAAAGACACACAAATCAATTAGTGAAACAGATAAGATAAGATACTCAATTTTCCAACAAAAGCTATCTATTAGTGAAACCACAATGCCTTGTTACACGTCACTCTAAATAATCTAGACAGGAGTTACAAGTTAAAAACTAGATAAATTATAGAATGGATTGGGTGGCAAAAAAACACAAAATTAAGGATATGGTAAAAATAGATAAAGTTGTATCTCTATAGAGAGAGAGATAAATTATAGAATAAAATGTCCATAGACAGAAAAAGAAAGATAAATTATGGAATAAAATGTCAATAGACTAGTGCGATAACAAAGATGTATAAATAGGTCTCTTTTATGTGCACAAAGGCATCACCCACTTCACAACCATTTGGTCCCCACACCATCTAACTACAGACTATGGTAAGTCTTAGTTCATTCTAATTCTCTCTCATCTTTTTCTCTTTATTCAGTTATGTTATCAACATAGAAACCAAATACAAAATACATATGGATAAATTTTTAAGTGTTAGGAGAGCCCACTTTTAAAAAATCTTATATAAAATTTTGTGATCGGTTTCTGTGTTTCTGGACTTGTTCCTGTGTTACAGACAAAAATAAACACATAATACATATAAATAGACAAGAATTTAAAAGGTTGGTTTGTCAAAAAACTTGTCCATTCACATATATTGTGTTCGATTTTGTGATCGGTTTTTGTATTCCTAAACTTATTCATATATCAATTGTTGACCCTACATCAACCAAAGAGTATCTGAAAAAGAACAGAGCTAACGTGCAGTGTGTTTATTCGTATTCCTAAACTATTTGTCAGACCCCTGTTCAGAACTGCATCCACTCAAGGGATGTAAGATTCCCAATAGTGCATCAGCAAGGCCTGTCCAGGAAGCTCCTGCAAGCTGCAATTCTACATTCTGGTTCAACTTTTTAGGTGCAACACCCTCATCTAGATTATCGTCTATTCCTTTTCTCTTGTCTAAGAACTTAAGACGAACATGTTTTGGTTTCAGTTTGTCTATACCTCTTGGAGAAAATGGGATTGGTTCCGACTCTTCAATGGTATTTTTGACATGCAAGCTCGAGAATGTGATGGCCAATGCCTTCAAATTAACGCAACCTCATCACCAATAGCAATCAATACTTCCAAGAGCTTCTCCATGTCCAGAAAAAAAAGAACATAATGTCTAAAACTTCTAATAGGATAAAGTTGGTTGTTCATGAGAAACCAAAATCCAAAAATAAATAAATAAAATGCTTACAGTTGTTGGGGCTGCAAAAGAGTCCCTGTTCAAATGCCCATCGCGAGGTACTCAGTAAGCCCATTGTGCTCAAATATGATTTGAGCAAACTTAAAGTCTTCAATGTGACTAACCGGCACAAGAATTTTCAGCTTTATCAAATAACCACAAATATTTGCTGCTAGCCAAAATCTTCAATCATGAGAAGTTTCAAGAGGAAATGGTTTCATCAAATTAATGAGATGACAAGTAAATTAAGAAATTTCAATACAACCATATTCAAGATAATATGATGTGTGCATTGGAGCATAAAAACATAACTCAATGTCAGAAGCCTCAAAAAAACACAACCACCCCACAAATTCAACAAGAACAATATTATGGAATTGCAATGCATCAGGGAAATAGAAAAATAGCAAAAACCATGACATTAACACACACCTTATCTTCCCAAATGCAGAAAAAATCGTGTGAGTGACCAGCATTGAAGGCTTAGATGAAACTCTTGGCTCAGCAAACCAGCGAGATGGAACACCTTTCAACACAATTGTATCAGGCAGCTGTTGCCGCCCACCTCTTGAATATCCTACAACCAAACAACACATACATACATCCATTATTATCAGTAGTTCTCACAAAATTATTAAGCATTTAGAAGAAAAAATATTGCGTTAGATTACAGAATCCATTATTGTAGACAGCAAGACCAGTAAGCATAAAAAATTCAAGACTATGGATAGAATCAAGAACAAACCTCGATTACCAAACGCATTAAGCTCTTCCCACTTTTTCCTCATTCCAAAATCATCCGATTCCGGAATTGAAGCAGTCAATCTAAACTTAACACCTTCAAGATTCAACTCAATCCCGTCGGTCTTACCAACAACCGATCTTCTCCAGTCCAGAAACTTCTTTTCGAGTTCCTTAACATCGTCTTCTCCATCTATACCATGAAGAATTTCTGATCTGGAAAACTTGGATAGAAACCCTAGGTCGCGGATGAAGCGAGCGCCGTGAGCGACAAGATCATCGCGCTTGCGCTTCTTGAGGTCCTTGAATTTGCGAACAACGATGTCGTCTTCGAGAACGGTGAGAGAGAAGGAGGATTTGAGGAAGTCGGTGAGGGAGCGCTTGAGTTGCCACTCATCGAAGGGCTTAATGGAGTGGTCTGCATAGTGGATAGTGAAGAGGAGCTGAAGAGGGAGTGTGTTTTTAGAGAGAGAAATGGGAGGAAAACTAATAAAAACACAAAAAATGGGGGAAAATTAGTAGCCAATTTTTTTTTCATTACTTGCTCAATATTTCAAAATTCCCCCTCTAAAATTTGTGACAAAATAATTTTTCCACCAAAAGATCTCAAAATATTAAAAATTATAGGCCATGAAAACATACTCCTCACCAAATGATATCAAAATATTTAGACTCATTGGTGACGAAAATATATTCCTCACTAATAATTTTATAATTTGTGACATATTTTTTCCTCACCAAAAGTCTCAAAATTTTAGCACCATCCGAACAAATTTAGACAAAATTTTTTTTATGATGAAACTTAATTTTTTTCTCACCTAAAAAGAAGTATTTATTGACGAAATTAAATTTCCTCACCTTTTACTTTTTTTTATTTTTATTATATATGACAAAATTTATAATTTGTCACAAATTAATCTTATTTCGCGACGAAAATTAGAAGGACAAGGGGTGCTAAACAAAGAGAGCTAACTTGTGTTTTGTTTTGTGTGAGAGAGAGAGAGAGAGAGAGAGAGAGAGAGAGAGAGATAAGAGGAAAACTGATAAAAACAAAAAAAAAGAAAAATTAGTAGCCTATTTTTTTTAATTACTACCCAATATGTCAAAATTCTCTCTTCAAAATTAGTGACAAAATAATTCCTTACCAAAAAGACTCAAAATATTAAAAATTTCAATTCTCGATCGACAACTGATGTAATGTTAGATGTTAGATCCTTGTCAACTGATATTCACCGGAGAGAGATGAAAGAGATGAAGAGAAAGAGGGTGGTAGGATGTCGACTATGAGAGACCGATCGACAATGAGAAGAGAGAAAGTGAAGGGGATCGGCGACGAGAAGAGACCCCTGCTATAGTCCCTTTTTCATCGAAGAGAATAATGAAGAGAGAGAGAGAGAGAGAGAGAGAGAGAGTCTCACCGTCGTTGATGAGAGAGAGTGAGGGGGTCGGTGATGAGAAGCTTTTGGATCGAGAGAGCACAAATGAAGGAGAGATGAGAGAATGAAAATGATGGAGAGAGAGAGAGAGAGAGAGACCAAGTGGTCTGATGATCCCCAAAAAAATAATTATTAAACAATAATCTCAAGTGATTTTTATTTTTTTAATAGTGGAGTGAATTATATATATATTTTAAAATTTTTGATTTTTGTTTAGTTAGGTATAATATAAATATTTAATTCTTTTTATAAAAAAAATTTAAAACTCATAAAAGACAAAAAAAAAAAGAAAAGTGCGTGACGTCGTTTAACAATTGGCGACCAAAATTTTTTTGTCGCAAAAAAATTTCAATTCCCGTCCCCACATTTCAAATTTCCCTCCCAAACTTTTGGCAACCAAAAGACCAGATTAGTCGCAGAAAAGGTATCTTCGCCGACAAACTTTTTTAGTTGCCAAATCTCAATCAACAGCGACCAAAATATTAGTCGCTAAATGTACTAATTTGGCGACTAAATTTTTTTGGTTGCTGAAAATAAGTTTTTGGTGACCAAATTTTTGGTCGCCAAAGAAAAAAAAAAATTTATTTTCCATTTGGCGACTAAATTGTTTTAGTAGCCAAAACTCAATATACGGGAGAGAGATGAAAGAGATGAAGAGAAAGAGGGCGGTAGGATGTCGACTATGAGAGACCGATCGACAACGAGAAGAGAGAAAGTGAAGGGGATCGGCGACGAGAAGAGACCCCTGCTATAGTCCCTTTTTCATCGAAGAGAATAATGAAGAGAGAGAGAGAGAGAGAGAGAGAGAGAGAGTCTCACCGTCGTTGATGAGAGAGAGTGAGGGGGTCGGTGATAAGAAGCTTTTGGATCGAGAGAGCACAAATGAAGGAGAGATGAGAGAATGAAAATGATGGAGAGAGAGAGAGAGAGAGAGACCAAGTGGTCTGATGATCCCCAAAAAAATAATTATTAAACAATAATCTCAAGTTATTTTTATTTTTTTAATAGTGGAGTGAATTATATATATATTTTTAAATTTTTGATTTTTGTTTAGTTAGGTATAATATAAATATTTAATTCTTTTTATAAAAAAAATTTAAAACTCATAAAAGACAAAAAAAAAAGAAAAGTGCGTGACGTCGTTTAACAATCGGCGACCAAAATTTTTTTGTCGCAAAAAAATTTCAATTCCCGTCCCCACATTTCAAATTTCCCTCCCAAACTTTTGGCAACCAAAAGACCAGATTAGTCGCAGAAAAGGTATCTTCGCCGACAAACTTTTTTAGTCGCCAAATCTCAATCAACAGCGACCAAAATATTAGTCGCTAAATGTACTAATTTGGCGACTAAATTTTTTTGGTTGCTGAAAATAAGTTTTTGGTGACCAAATTTTTGGTCGCCAAAGAAAAAAAAAAATTTTATTTTCCATTTGGCGACTAAATTGTTTTAGTAGCCAAAACTCAATATACGACGACTAAAATATTTTTAGTCGCTAAAAATAAGCCAAAAGATAAAAAATAATTTTTTATTTTCCATTCGGCGACTACATTGTTTTAGTAGCTAAAACTCAATATACGGCTACTAAAATATTTTTAGTCGCTAAAAATAAGTTTTTTTGCGACCAAAATTTTGGTCGCCAAAAGATAAAAAATAAATTTTTATTTTCCATTCGGCAACTACATTGTTTTAGTAGCCAAAACTCAATATACGGTGACTAAAATATTTTTTGTCGCTAAAAATAAGTTTTTGGCGACCAAACTTTTGGTCGCCAATTCCACAACCAACTTATTTTTGATCTTCTGTGACCAACTTATTTTTTGGTCGCCAAAATGTGACCTTCCGCGGTCAAATTTATAGTTGGTCGCCAAAACCATACCACTTTCTGCAACCAACTCATTTTTCAGTCCCCAAAATATGACCTTTTGCGACCAATTCATATTTGGTCGCCAAAAATAATGATCATTCACGACTAATTAATATTTGGTCGCCAAAAGGTAACTTTTAGCTACCAACTTTTATATTGGTCGCGGAAAGTGGTCGCTAAAAGTGCAGATTCTTGTAGTGGTATCAAGTGTTTATTAGTTTAGAGGGTGAGGGTGTGCTTCAATGGTGTAGCTAAGATTAGAGCTAGGCATAAAAATAGACGACCCACAAAACTAGCCCGATCCAACATTACCTGTATTGAATTGGGTGGTTTTGACAGAAGCTTGGATTGGATGTGGGTCTAGTTTTAAGAAGAAAATTTGGTTCGAGTCCGACCCGACCCGACCCGCACTAAGCCGACCCACTTTTATATCAATTTAAAAAGAATGTATATTTCTTTTTATTATTTGAACCCTAACAATAGCAGCCCAGTAGCCACTTACTCTTTTCTTATATTTCCTCTCTCTATTTTGCCGGCTACTAAAAGCATAACAAGAGGAACAACTTTTTTATATTTTTTCTTTATCTTCTCTCACCCTCCTCTCTCTCTTTGCTCACAGTCTCTCTTCCCCTGTCGCCTTTCGTACATCAGCCATGTCGTTGGCCATACCCTGCTCGCATTGGCTCTCCTCTCGCCTCGATCGCCATTACCCCCTATTCCAATCGTCATTGCCTAATTGTGAACTAGATTTGAAGATTTCTAGATTTGGAAGATGTAGAAAGAGGAGAAGAAATTTGGAAGAAAGTCAAAAGGAGAAGAGTTCCAGATCTAGAAAGAGGATAAGACTTGATGTGTTTTCTTCTTCCGAAGCCCAAAAAAATAGCAAAACATTCACAACTTTTATTTTGTTGGAGTGAAGCCAATTGATCCGAGACAACACGAAGTTCTGCGTAAATATTTTTCTCTACATTTTTCTTCACATAAATTTTCTCTTATAGCATATACTAGTTTGAATAGATGGATCGTGATTAATTGCTTTTAGGGTTGGGAAATCTTACTTTCTTGTTGTGGCTATAGAGATTGTTGTAGCATGTAAGAGCAGAAATATTCATTCCTGATTGATAAGTGTTTTGTTGTTGTAAATGTTTTCTTCATCTACATTAAGAATATATATACATTATAATATTTGATGAGAAAAGCTTTTATTTTATTTTATTTTATTTTTCATAGAATTCCATTAGATCAAAGTGTTTTCTTATTTGCCTTATTTGTCAACTATACATTTTAGCCAAAAAGTTAAAAGGTCACTATGAGTTGTCACATCACTTTCTCCATTTTTGTACATATCTTTTCATAAAAAGATAAAAAGTTACTAAAATAGTATGTTCCTAAACGAGGCTTGAAGCCCTAAAAAGACATTTTGAATAGACAATAAGCCAAAAAAATAAATAAAGAAATAAAATGAAGAAAACAGATGCCTAACCCGCTTAATCCACCTACATAACCAATTGACTCATACACACAAACTGCATTCGCAATTTAGGCAGCTACGTGTCCATTTTTCACAACCCGCTCTACTATGGGCTTGGTGAAAATTGACCTGAACCCAGATAGAACAGGTCTGTGGCCAACCCTAGTCAAGATGTGTGTTATTAAGTAAATAATCTGTATATATAAGGCTCGCTTGAAAAATTGGCTATTTTAGTTGGCTTTTTAATTTTTTGACTATTTTCTTATTAAAAAAATTGTGTTTGGAAAGTTAATTGGCATTTTTTTATAGTTGATTTGATAGTTGTAAGAGAAAAAGTAAAATAATTATGGTTTAGATGTGATATTTTATCTTATTGACTATTTTAACCAAAAAAAGGTCACCAAACTCACTTCTCAAACAGTCCTATAGTGACTTTTACTAATTTCTCTTATCTGTTTGTCATTTTTCTTCTTCTCATTCTTCTTTTTACTCATTATTTTTCTTGTACGGCTACACAATAGAATTAATAACTTTTTACCAATTTTCTAAAATACTGCATAACTTTTTGTGGACTACTCATAGTCTTAGCAAAGTTGTTAACTCATTTATAAAAGTGAAATAAATGAATACTTCTTTATTAACCGTGCAAATCAATTAGTAACTGACACAAATGTAAGATTTAGAGATAACATTGGAGATGCTCTTTAAGACTTGGATGGACACAACTTGCTATAGGGCCACTGGTTAGTGTAATTTCAAGAATTTGAAGGAAAATTGTGTAATTATATGAAACACTGAGGACAGTCTGTGTAATTATGGCATTGACTTTTGGATCCGGAGCGTTTTTAGACAGTGCTGCGGAGAAGTAGTAGGGAGGGGGAGTAGTGTATGTGTGTAGTAGTGGGAAATCAAAATAATCCACCAAAAATTTCAATTCAAATTTCAAACCCCCCCGCCCCCCAACCTTATTCCCATTCCTCGAAAACTCTATTATTTAAATAAACATTAAAATTATTATCTCACATCACACCCTAAATCCAAAAGTTGAATTGGATTGAATTGAAGGGTCTCCTTCTGTATCTTCATCTCCATCTTCTTATTATAAAAGTTATATATCACTCGAGTCGAGTCGAGTCATCGCCGTCTCTCTCTCTCTCTCTCTCTCTCTCTGCTTAACCTTCACTTCACTCCAATGGCGCACTCTAGCAACCTCCCCTGCGACGGAGACGGCATTTGCATGATCTGCAAGAAGAAGTCGGCGGACGACGAGACCATCACCTGCAAGACATGCGTCACACCTTGGCACGCCACTTGTCTCTCCACTCCCCCTCAAACCCTAGCCGATACTGTCCAGTGGGAGTGCCCCGATTGCTCCGTCATCGCCGATCCTAATCTCATCGACAAGCCGGCCGCTGGATCTGAATCCTCCAGCGATCTGATCGCGGCGATTCGAGCGATTGAGTCCGATCAGTCCTTGACTGTGCAAGAGAAGGCTAAGCGAAGGCAACAGCTCATGAGCGGAGGCCCCAATTCGACAGATGCTGAGGACTCCAGTCCCAAGGACAAGCTCAATGCTGGGGATAACGATGTTCTACAACTTCTCGATCGGAGTTTGAACTGCTCCTTTTGCATGCAGCTCCCTGAGAGGCCCGTCACGGTATGTGCCTGATTCATCCATCTTGATTGTTTTGCCTTATCGTTGACTTCGAAAATCGCATTATCATCAACTTCTTCAAATATTCTCACCAAGCAAGCATTGGTTATATGTATTCTGTCAGATGCAATTTGTCGTGGTGCTTTTGGGATAGTGATTAACTAATACACCTATGATTTAGAGAGGCTTGATATATATGTCAAAACACAATTGCATTCTATCATCTCTGTATTTTTGTTAATATGCATAAAATTTATGAATATTTGGAAGATTTTTGCACCTGAATATTTAGATGATTCGTCTTGATGATAAAAATGTCACGTCTACACAAGCAATAACACCTTCTTCTGTATTGGTTTAGGTTGTTCATCTTGCTATTTTTGGAGCTTGATATAATTCCACCATTTAATTGGAAAAATATGTATTATAATTCTACATTGCAATCTGAAAGAAATTGCTTGAAGCTGGTTTTTTTGGGTATAATGGTTGATGTGGTCTGGCTTCATTCAGTCACCCATGGCATGACCAAGTTATAAAGCCCTTCTACACTGTTGCCCTACAGTAATTGCAAAAAAAGTACTCATCTTGGAAGAAAAAAGGACTTGTCTAAATAGGAATTTGTAGTTGAACGCAGTTCTTATTCATATGTATTTGGTTTTTTTGTTTTTATTTTTTGTTTTCTTGTATTTATAATTTATTGACTGTAATCTGAAGAGTAATTTTACTGGAGAGATTATCAGCTGGCTAACTTTCATGGGTTTTCCTGTTGTTTCAGACACCCTGCGGTCATAATTTCTGCTTGAAGTGCTTCCAAAAATGGGTTGGGCAGGGAAAGCGTACCTGTGCAAATTGCCGTAATGTAATCCCAGCCAAGATGGCAAGCCAACCTCGAATCAACTCTGCACTTGTCATTGCCATCAGAATGGCTAAGATATCAAAGTGTAACGCTATGGGGGCTCCATCAAAGGTCTACCATTTTGTCCACAACCAAAACCGACCTGACAAGGCTTACACCACTGAGCGGGCAAAGAAAGCAGGAAAGGCTAATGCTTGTAGTGGAAAGATTTTTGTCACAGTCCCACCTGATCATTTTGGACCAATTCTAGCAGAGAATGACCCAGACAGAAATCAGGGTGTGTTGGTGGGTGAGACTTGGGAGGATCGAATGGAATGCAGACAATGGGGAGCTCACCTTCCTCATGTTGCAGGGATTGCTGGGCAAGCAGATTATGGGGCTCAGTCTGTGGCACTCTCTGGAGGCTATGAAGATGATGAGGATCACGGTGAATGGTTCCTCTACACAGGAAGGTATGCTCATGGGTGCATTAGATATGTCATTGTTTAAGTAATGGCCATTATAGGTAATGTGTATATTTTCACTGGCATCCCTATACATTGGGTTTTGGTGTCAAAGTTGCTCCTTGTTGAACATTTTATCTAACAAGCTGTTGTTGTTAAGTCATACATATTTGTCATTAGTGGCGCATTGTCACTTGATTTGATCTTTACATTGATGCTTATCTTGTAAAAAATTTGCAGAGTAAGATTATCTAAATGGTAGTACTAAGTCAGGCTATTCATTGATGAACAATCCAATTTTGTATGGCTGGGCATAAACATCATTCCTTTGCTACTATAAATGCTTTCTATTTCTGTTGTTCTTTTCATGCATGCATTGAGGTTGATCTATTTTCTATTTCTTTATCTATCTAAACCCTATCTATCTCTACATATATATTTGTGGACAGTGGTGGAAGAGACCTCAGTGGAAATAAAAGGACGAGCAAGACACAGTCATTTGATCAGAAGTTTGATAAAATGAATGAGGCATTACGGGTCAGTTGCCGAAAAGGTTATCCCGTCCGAGTTGTGAGGTGAGTTTTGTCAATATTCTTAATATTGCATCTTCTAGTGAAATTGAATATTGAGTCTATGTTCTTGAAATTTCCATGGGATGGACAAGGATAGAGGAGTTCTGACCATAGCATATAATTCATTGCTTTTGGAGATTGGTGATGGGTAGCTCAGTTATGGCGTTAGCAGTTTACATGATATGTGGGTGTACAGTTTGTTTTCATTCTCACTCTGCAGGCACCTGATATTTTGCTGGGTTTAGAAGAAATGCTCTTTCAATTACAAGAATGTCATGCTACTTATCATCTGGCTAATTTTTATGACTCTGGGTCAATCTTGAGTGATGTATCCAAAATTGATAATTAATTGTTGGATGCATTGCAGAGTCTTATTTGTTAATTTGATCTTGTTGAAAATCTGCCTATATTTTTGACCGGGGCATTCTCTGATTGACAGGTCTCATAAGGAGAAACGTTCCTGCTATGCACCAGAAACAGGAGTACGATATGATGGGATTTACAGGATTGAAAAATGCTGGCGCAAAGCTGGAATTCAAGTAGGATAATTGCTAGTAATTGTAATTGCATAAATAAAAATGAAAAATAAGGCCTGGCTCTTCCAAATTTGTTCTGACAGTTCTCCTGCATCAGGGATTTAAGGTATGCCGATACCTTTTTGTTCGATGTGACAATGCACCAGCCCCATGGACAAGGTTTGCCATTGTCATTATTGCTATCATTATTACTTTTCCTGTGTGTGTGTATGTGGATGTTCAACTTTTTGCATTCGATCTGCAGTGATGAGCATGGTGACCGCCCGAGGCCTTTGCCAACCATTAAAGAGTTGAAGAATGCAACTGATATTTCTGAAAGAAAGGGAGTTGCCTCTTGGGATTATGATGTGAGCTGCCTCACCCACCTTCTTTGACTAGACTTTCTTTTAGGCCTATTCTTAGGAAAACTGATTATATTGGCCTCGTTTGGGAAGTGGCTATTTTAGTAGGCTATTTGGCTTTTTGGCTATTTTAGTAGGCTATTTTAATTTTTGTGTTTGGGAAGATGAGATGAATTTTTAGTTGAGTTGTTGTATTGAAAAGTGTGTTGAAATGATGTTTGAATTTAAAATGACAAATTTGTCCCTAAATTATATTTTTTTAATTGGATATAAAGGGGCAAAATGGTAATTTAGCCCATGATGTTACAATTTTCTGCTGTGGCAGTGTAGGCACAGCCTACACTGCCCGGCTGCAGCCTATAAATTTTTTTTTTATTTTTTTTTTTGGAAAATTATGAACAGTATTTACTTTTGGGCTAATTTTACAATTTAGGCTATAATAGCCTTAAATCCTCATTCCCAAACAGCGCCATTATCTGGAAACAATCAAAGTACCCAATCTTTCCTTCCTGGTATGGTGGTACTGCTAGACATTGTGTTACGGATATTTTTGTTATTCATATGCCCTTTTTTTGACAAGTAGGAGGAAAAAGGTTGCTGGATGTGGAAGAATCCTCCACCAGAAAGTAGAAAACAAGTGAACAATGAATATTTAGAGGATGGAAAGAGAACACCCAGAGTTAGACGTCAAACAGCAGCCCTGTCCATACGAGAAAAGCTTCTAAAGGGTATAATTTCTTATTTGATTGTTGCTTCTAACATGGATTTCCCTCAAATTTCAAATTCCAATTATGCATGATTACAAATGAGGTACTTCACTGTGCAGAATTCAGCTGTCTTATCTGCCGAAAAGTGATGACTCTCCCCATTACTACTCCATGTGCTCATAATTTCTGCAAGGCCTGTTTGGAGAGTGCCTTTGCTGGTCAAACTTTCATGAAAGAGAGGACACGTGAAGGCGGACGGACATTACGAGCACAGAAGAATATTAGGAAATGCCCATCTTGCTCAATTGACATCAGTGACTTCCTTCAGAATCCGCAGGTAAGCATAGCAAAACTGTTCCACAATATGCTGTACCTAATGAGAATTAAGTTCATGGCAATAAATATGACTATTTGTTAATTGCTCTAAAAATTTTATTTTATGGCTGCCCTTGATGACACTTTTATTATTCAATCACAGGTTAATAGAGAGTTGATGGGTGTGATAGAATCACTACAGGAGCAGAGTAAAGAGACAGAGGAAAATGTGTGTGAAGAAGCTGATGGCACTGATGAGAAATCTGATGTGGTTTCTAGCGATACAGAGCTTTGCAATACAAATGCTGACATTCCAGAAGACAAAGAAGGCATAGATAATTCTCCATCCAAAGTCCAACCTGAGCAAACTGACAAGCTAAAGAAAGAAAGTGGTGCTGAACAAATACTACTGGAAAACCCTCTTGAGAATGATGCAGCGAATGATGTTGAAATCTCTGGTGAAAAAGAATTAAAAGAAACTGCAGTTGATGCTAAACCTAAGAGAACTTTGAAGCGAAAGAAGGCAAATGATGGGATTTCCTCATCAATGCTGGATAAGGGAGCAAAGACCAGAAGCCAGAAGGCTAAACTAATGATGGATGATGATGACTTTGCATGACTTACATTTGATTTGCAAGGATTTTTGCCCAGTTGTTCAACATTTTGGATTTTGTATTATGATGTTTAAAAGTTGAGGTGGCATTTTTATTTTTTGTGGAATGCTTAGAAACACAAGTAATTTGGTTCATTTTGGAAGACAATTTTGTCAGAACCAATAGATAATTGGGCAATGTTTCAAAACTGCATTACTTTATATATATAATCACATTAAGGGCAATTACTTTGTTTTTCTTTGTTTTTGGTGATGGCTTTGAAGTTTTTTTTTTCCATTTTACTTTTGTTTTCCTCATCTTCATCAAATGATTTTGATATTAGAAAAGATAAAATTACAAGAGAATATATTTGCCGAAGAAAAATGTTATGAACCCACCTATATGAACCCATAATTTGACCTAAATGTATTTGTGTGGTAGAGATCAAATTCGTGAAATGTCAAGTCCCTGAGCAAAATGAATTTAAATCATTGATTTCTTTTTCTAGATAAATTTTGGTTTGATAAGGGTGGATTTGTAATATAATTGTTGTTTGCCTAATGTCATAATAAGCAAAGGTCAAAGTTTAAACTCGTGTTACCCATGGCTTCATAAATTTATATTAAGCTGGAATTTTGAGTTAAGGGGGCTTAGTCCATGAGTGGTCACACTATTTTCTCAACCTGCACAGACCGATGCCAACCCTTACATTTGTAGAAATCATTCTCCATTGCTTCCACTTGAGTAGACTATTTTATCCGGACCAAAAAACAAAATGCTTCATACAAAATTGTAATGCACTAATGCAAAATGGTGTGTGCTAGCAATTATGAACTTTTGTCAAGGGATGGTTTTCACTTGTATTTAGAGTAAACTTCTCAATCTGTTATATATATATATATATATACATGTAAGTTAACAGCCAACAAATTCGGACAAACTCAACTTGAAGCAGCTGATCCTCTAAACAAAACAGAAGTTTTGTGTCTTTTTTCTTTACCATAAATAAACATACATACAAATTTATATATACAAAGAAGCACGTCTCTCTTCTATGTTTCTTTTTACACGCTCTAAAGCTTATTAGAACTACTCTCCCAGACAACATTACCCGTACCTGAAAATGTTCAGCCAAGCGTTTAACAATTTCCCACATGAACCAACAGATCATTCTCATTTCTGCCTAATTAAGATTCCGACTGAACTTTTGATTGCTCAAGTTTCTCAATTAAAGCCTTCTTTTGCTCCTCTGGCAGAGCATTGAACATGAAAACAGACTTGTCTCCAATATCGTCCTGGAAAGTAAGCAACAGAATATCAGAAATGCCATAGATATCTTACATGAAATACAAAGCTATTAGCTAGACAGAAGATTATTCCTCGAATTCAATGAATGAAAAAGATCTACCTTAATAGGCTGAGTGAACTTCCTCCCTGCAAAAATCACGAAAAGTGCCATCCACATACCCAGTAGAGTTACTTTTACTCCATCATCCATCAAACCAGTCTGTGGATTCCAAATGAAGCTCATAAGGGTCTAGATGAAGAATTTTCAATCCAGGAATAGAAGTCTATTGCATAATACATCAACCAAAGAGCAGAGTTCTGAAGTAAAACTACAAAAGGTTTTCATGACGCTCGTTTTGACATAGCAACCAAATGCATTTATAGGAGTTCTGAAAGTCCAATAGTTTGATAATCTCAATGTCTAGTGAAAGAATTGCATGATGACAACAATCCATTTTAATATTTTTACGGGCAGTTTCCTTATCTTCCAGCTAGTGCTTCAAAATAAAAAACATACATGCCTTGACATTGTCATTTGGTCTGAAAGAGACATCTGATTGTTAGGATTTCCTCTAATAGATCAGTCAAATTTTACCAAACTTTTCATTCTAAACCTTAGGTATAGAACTTCCAGTCTTGTAACATAAACTACCCACAGAGGAGTTGTTAATTGATAAAATTAAAGAGCGTGAAAAGGGGCTTTGAATAGTTGAAATATTTAAGAAGAGTACCAGGTGCCCAAGAAGAACTGAGGGAATGACAAAAGTCAGGATACCAGCTTCCAACTTTCCATAGCAGAGGCCTGTTTCAAGAATACCAGTAACCACATGTAAGGATTCCCACATGAAATTGTGAGGGTTTCTTAATAAAAAATATATGACACAACAGGATTTCCTGATTCATTTATAAACAGCATCTCTGATAAGAAAGGAATGTTGAATAAATAGGGTTTTATAAGATACCTCCTCGACAGATTACAAAACAAAAGTATGGTTGTGCTACTGGTTTGATGGATCCTCTTGTGGCACAAAGATTGAAAAATGATGGATGATGGAGTAATCAACAAGGATTTGACAAGATCTTCGATTCTCCAACAACAATCAACAAGGATTTAACAAAATCTTCCTATTTTTTAACTCACCATCTTAACTAGATAAAACTAAGACCTACATTTGGAAGAATTCCTGCCCAATTAAACATTCTCGTACAATCAATGGCTAACCGTGTCTTCACAAATGGTTAAATTATACATACATGTGTGTATATACACAATACACACATCATGTTCACACAAATTCCCCACATACCACATCTAGTTCATATATAAGGTATTACTGCCTTCTTCCATTGTTCTATATAGTATTTTGTTTTGGTAAGTTTTCTAGGTAGTATTTGTCCTAAAACATGAATAAAGGACATATCCATCCTAAAGCTACTGGCAGTTATTAGGTTCAGTAAACGGAATTCCTTCTAACCACAAAGAGATGAAGGAAACATCTTAGTTGTCTTCTCATGAACTTGTTTTGTAAAATTTTTATGGAGACAAGTATAAGATTTCTACATTCCATACATCATCTTCGCAACTATGGCCATCAAAATTTATACCAAATCAAATTTTATGGAATAATTCCTTTACTAGGGCCAATAGCTCATAGGATTAGAGCACATGGAAAATCCCTCGTTGCACACAATTGTTCCAAAAGGGAAGGAGTAGAAAAATCATGATTGCGATAGCAGAACAAAAACTACGGAACTTGGGTGTGGATCTTTTGTCGAAATGGAATGGCACGGGTTTTTCATCCAAATATAACATTACAGGGAATGAGTGTGAATATGCATATCAAAATATCTAAGTGGAAAGTGGAAAGTGGAAAGTAGTGATTCATTCATTCATGACTAAACCATGAAAGAAAGAAAGAAGGAAGTATTAAACATGTTTGAAAATTGTACCTTCCTTGAAGACAAGTCCGGTAAGGGATGCAAAGAGTGGACCAACAAACCAGACAGCGGTTGGGTTGTCAATAACATATTGTATTAAGTTATGACCAGTGGGTTGAGCAAGGGTGAGATAGGTTGCCAAGGATCCTAAAACACCAAGTGCCCACAATGCTTGAAGAGTGCGCTTAATCTCAGTGACATAGATGTGAATCAACAACAATGATAGACCTAACCCAGCAGCTCCAAGGGCATAAAAGAAATCAAGATTCTGCTTTATTAAATCAGCGAATGACATGTTATCGGGAAGAAAAGCTGTAGAAGCAGCAATAACAAAAGATGCAGCAGCAGTCACTAGCCCTGATCTGTATGAAATCACCTGTTGGATTGCAGCAAGACAGACAGAGACAGACAGACAAGTATCACCAACCAACCACAATTCTTCTAAAATATAACCCCTTTCTTCTTTCTTACTTATATATATATTTTTGTGTAATATATTTCTTAAGATGGATTGAATTCTAAAGTAGGTTTACATACAGGAAGAGACAGGGTTTTGAAGCTGGCACAAATTAAATACAAATTCTGTAATGACTGCAGCAAGTTAATTTTCTCATCGTATGACGATTGAATTGAAGGCTCGTAATCATAACATACAATACAGCACATTTATCTTGTTGGCCATGTTTGATTCACAACAAGACTAGTAATGAGGTATTAATAATCCTATCAAATTAGCGTGATATTTACTGTCCAATAAGATTTATAGGATAAATTATGCATTGGATCCATTACTAATAATCCTACAAATTTATTGAATTAATTATCCATCGATTAATAATCCTGAACCAAAATGTTAAAACAAACTTATGATAATTGGCCATACGAATTAATAATCTCAATTCCATACTCTACTCCATCCAATCGAACATGCCTTTGGTACTAAAATACGTACCTCACGAACATCAGAGGAATCGACAGTCCAAGGACCATAAAAACCTTGATACACACTAGTAGTGGTAGTAGTATCAGAGCTTTCTCCGGCGGCCTGGCACTTTATGGATTTATTTGCAATCGAAGAAGCTCCCCTACTATATGACCATGATGATAATGGAGACGGTCCACCACTACCACAACTCTGAATTCGATTTAGAAGCGTCAGCGACACTGATCTAGGTTTACAATAACAACAACAAAAAGAAGACGAAGAAGAAGAAGAAGAAGAAGAAGAAGAAGAAGAAAGCTTGTTGGGATTGGGAATCGGAGGAAGGAAGGAGAGAGGAGCAGCTGCAGCTGCAGACAACACTCGAGCGCCCATAGCGAAGCCTTTTTCGGAGAGGAGAGCAGAAAGGAGACTTCAGACCAAAATAGCTTAATAATTATAATTATAATTATTAATTATTATTATACTAATAAATTTACTAACAATTTTCATTTTATAGTAATAATTTTAATTTAATATAGCATCCGATCTGAATAATATCTCATCCGCTGCCTACCTTTTGTTTTTATTTTATTTTTTTGAATTTTCAAAATTTTTTGCAAGTAGATAAGGTCCATCAATCCATACCACCACCAGAAAGGATTGTGTGGACGTCCTTTGTTCCCCACCAAAAATCGCAAATTAGATTTTCATTTTCCTTTTCCTTTTCCTGTTTTTTGGGTAAGGTACTGCCCCATATAGGTAAATGGGAAGATAATTAAATTTTTAAAAATTACAAATAAAAAAATAATTATAAAATCATGAAATCTTTAAATAATTTGACAAAATTATCCATTTCATTTAAAAATAACTCTTCTAACTTCCTTTTCCTCCTCTTTCTCTCACCACCTCCACCGCTTTCCTACCCATCCCAACACTCCTCCCCTTCTTTCCTACTAAATTCGTTTATTTTATTTAATAGAATTATACTATTTATTTTATTAATCATTTACTTGATGATAAAGCTTCGCTAAGATGTCCATAGAATTGTAAAATTGTTTTGAAAATTAAAAAAAACGTAATGTTAGAGATTATAAAAAATAAAAAAATCATGAAATACTTTATGAAGATTTTTTTTTTTTTTTTAATCTTTTAATTAGTGTATGATGTTTTAGTGTAGGTGCAATTCAATGGTAAAGAATTTTCATGAAGTATTTTATGATATTTTTTTTATGATCTCTAACATTACTCAGAGTAATATGGTTACTTATTGAGCCAACAAAAAAAAAATTAAAAATTTGTTCAAATTTAACTTAATTACACAAATTAAGGCAAATTAATCTCCAAACCTATAGAATATGATAGAAGACTACAGAAGCCAAGCCATAGAAGTCGAAATAGAAAGTACATGTCATAATCAACGTAGGTTGGAGTGTTTCACTTGAATTTGAATACAACTGTAGTGATGCTTAAATTCAACGAAGAAACTCTGCACATGGTGTCTCACGCCATCACTCACTTTCCTTCATAATTGAACAAAATAGTCAGGCTCAAAGCAATTCTTCGAATTGCCTTCATAGCTAAACTTATTTATCCATTCTATACCCAACCAACCTCCTCTGCCACTACTTCGACAGCTTGACCAGCTTGGACTGGTATACTTCTCCTTTTACTGTGTGTTCACACTACTTTACCTCATTTGTAAACTTTCATGAACTTTTTGTTTTATTTTGATGTGAATGGGAAATGAATCTTATATATAATAGATGAAAACTTATAAAAAATAATAATAATGTGATTGTGATATTCCTAAATAATATTTGTGAGTAATGTGTGATCCTAAATCATCTCACATAAACAAGGATTCGAGTTACAACAATCCAACACTCACAACAAGCAACTTAATTTATATAGAAAGCAAAACTACTATTTTGGCGACCATGCCCGATACTAGAAAAAGATGAGAGAACAAACTCAAAATAACCTCAACCACTCTACATATATCTCAATCCTATATATATATATATATATATCATTGCATAAATTCCAACATATTCTATTATTTGAGTTCAGAGAGCCACAAAAAACACTCAAAAGCGCAGAACCTCTTGTTCTTGTGCCTCAGTGTCTTCATTGTCTCAAATTTTTCATAGCAATTGAAATACAACTCAAGAAAAAATTCAAGTAATCGTTCATGCCAATACATAATAATGAAGTACTTGGACACCAAACTCACTTTGAAATAACCAGGTGAAAGAAATAAAAATCCCTCATGCTCAAAATCTTGAAATACTACTTACTAGGTGCCACTGCCAGTACCAAAATGTTTCCCATGATTGAGAAGATCAGCACTGGATGAACTTTGGAACTGCGACGAAAAACTCAGAAACTCATCTGATTCTGAGGTAATCGAGGGCATCAATGGTGCTGTACTTGTCATCGTTGAAGACTGTGAAACAAAGTGCTGTTGTTGTTGATTATAGAGAGCTGACGTGAAGTAAGGGAAATCAGCATCATTGCTAGAAAGAAGTTGTGCATATTGATCAAGGTCTGGATAAGCTTCTTGTGATGACATTGACATCACAGGAAGAGGAAGAGGATGATGATGATGATGATGAGGAGCTGGATTAGGAATGCTCTCATGAAAGGCGGTCGAGTCTCCATGACTCATGAAGAAGCCATAACCAGTTTTTGCTTGAACTCTTTCAGGAAAATTGAGCTTGGCTTTGGTGCCTTTGAATCTCAGAGCAGCTTCATCGTATGCAAGGGCTGCATCCTCCGCAGTGTCAAAGGTGCCAAGCCAAACTCGGGCTGCTTTCTTTGGATCACGTATTTCGGCTGCCCATTTGCCCCAAGGTCTTTGTCTCACTCCTCTGTAATGTCTTCTCCTTATATTTCCTTCACAAAAATCATTTAGCCACGGGTTCAGCATTGCTAGCATGCATGCATGACAAGTGAGAATCTCATGACACGCTTTTGGATATGTACCTGGTTTTGCAGCCTGGCTAAATGGTTGCCATGGTTAGATTTGTTGCTTGTACTCCATTTTAACTTTCATATTTTGAAACAAATTCACTATATTTGCCGTGGAAGCAACATTTTGAGTTTTTACATTATCATGTTTTGGAAAAAGATTAGAGAAAATTGTATTATACTTTCTAAATATGAGTCATATATAAATAGTTGATGACAATAAGAAATGCTGATATAAGCAGCTTAATGCGATAATAATAATTATGTACAAACCCATAATAATATCGAAGTAAGAATTTAAAAAGCCGGTGTGTATATTATGTGGGCAATTTATGACATAATAATTCCATAAACTCACGTACCAAAATTTAAAGGATAATATTTGAAGTGCTGCTGGCTATATAAGACATAATAGGTATTGAAATGTAGAAATGAAAGGACAAAGTAGTAAATTTGCTGGCTGCACCAGACAGAATATTTAAGTGGCATGCATAATAACAAAAGTTAAATCCTATAATGTCATACACATTCAATAGTCGATTATCTCATTTGAAAAATTGAAAGTTGTTCACATACTTTCAAAGTGAAATAATAAAAAATAAATATAAAGTTAGAGTCCAATTTTGCTATGAAAAGTTCAATTATTTCAGCAATGTGGAAAAAAAAACTAAGGCAAACCTCAATACTGATGATTAGAAATTATTGTATTGAAAGATGGTATTCAGTGTCTAAATTGACACAGCTTATTCTTGATAGGGAATTTGGGAGCTCACAAGCGCACAACAATATCGGCATAATCCATTTAAAAATGTTTTGAAACTCTAATTTTTAATCTCTAAAGCCAGCTCTAATGAGTTAGCAGTGGGCCCCACCCACTGTGATGTGATGTTTTGATTTTAGTTTGCTTTTTATTTTTTTATTTTTTTTCTCCTTGCCATGTTATTAGTACTCCATTAGAGCACCAAAATTAGTGCTCTGAATCATTGTTGTAATCCATTAGGGAGAAACTTTAGAGTTCAAAAACGTCACATCAAGGCCCAACATACATTATTTGGATCTCATATCTATTTTAAAACTTAAGCCTATAAGTGAAAGTGGAAAACCCATCTAATATATATTAAGACTATCTTTTACTCTTTATCCGATGTGGGATTCTACCTTCACACATGCTCCAACAATCTCTCCTTTATGTGTGAACCAAACATTGAGCCATACCCTCTATCGAGTCTAATCTATCATCAACAAGTTCATTGTAGATCATTACACACTCTCCCTTAATCTTGATCTATAACTCTAACGTAAAGTCTAACTTGGGCCACCAGCACACACTCCATGGTGAGCCACCATACTCTATTTGAGAACTACCTTGTGGTGGTCCAACCTTGTCACGTGTACTATGAATACATCGATACTCCAGAAGAGTCCACCAAGAGTCAACACAAGCCCACACCCACCTACATCGATGCTCCAGAAGAGTTCACCCACAGATCGTCTGCCATTGACTTTGATACTAGTAAGTTGTTAGGGAATTAAGGAGCCCATAAGCGCATAACAATACCGGCTCAATCCATTAGAGAGAAACTCTAGAATCCACAAACGCCATATTAAGGCCCAATATATATTATTTCAAACTTATACTAACTTAAAAGTTTAATTCTATAAGTAGAGAACCCATCTAATGTATATTAAAACTCATCTATTTTACTCTTTATCCGATGTGAGATTTTACTTTCACACATGCTTCAACAATTCTAATTAATCTGAAGGCAATCTTGAAAAGGATGAGGATTGATGGTTGCATTTGTTGAAAATTTAAGGACAAAGTGATCAGATATCATTAGGGATGGATTACTATGAACAGTGAAATTTTGCATAGCACCAGTCAATGGAGTAATAGAAGCCACCTTAGGACTGAGAAAGATTTGTAAGAGCAATGCATGCATGCATTGTGTTGTTAATGCATAACTGACAGTTTTTATTTTTTATTTTTGTTACAACCTTGAAAATAATAATATGTTAGTCATTGTGGTAGTGGTGGTGACTGACAATTTGAATAAAGTAGTAGTGGCAGCGGCAATAATAGAATGATAAATATTTAGTTACAAACGGTTAGTAATTGTATAGAGTAATAGAATTAGACCTAAAAAAACACATGGATTAGAGGTGATAAATATCAAATTGTGTGATTATAATCGAAAAAATAAAGGTAACACCCATGTTAAAACATCCCTTTTCCCCTCATTTCTTTGGCATATTAAAAACATGACTAAAACTAGGGACTTCTAGTTTTTGGTCGGTGAGAAGATTGACATTGGACCAAAAGTTACATGTATATAAATATATGAAAGAGAATTGCCACCTATTAGACAGAAACATGTGTCTCTTTGTTGGAATTTGGATAAACAACAAGAAGCATGTCTAAAAAAAGACATGATTCACACCACCATTTCTCCATGAGAGAGAGATTGTGGAAAGCAACATACAATGAACTTGGCTAAAGCTCGAAACACAAGGGAGATGAATTGTTTATGATAAAAAAATTGAATATGCATTTGCCCCCATTGCTTTTGTACATAACACGGAAGATAAAGTTACTAAATAAATATTAAATTGTTGATCATCAAGTTTTTTAAAGGTTGGGCACTGATTGAGAGAGTTTTAGCTATAGAAGTTTAAATGGAGTTTTATACCTATGACATTGAAAAAAAAAAAATAATAAATAAATAAATAGATCAAAACTTCACATTATAAGTGGATTTCACCCATTAAAACTCTGTTTTTAGAATTTTAAAGCATTTATCTTAAAAGTTTAAGAGTGATGAGATTCGAATACAAATAACTTTATTATTTATATCTTCAACCCGTTTTATCAGGCGTTAACAGTCACACCCTCTTTCATAAGTGGATCAAACATGACACACATTTATTCTAATATTATGTTAAATTATTAATTATCAATTGGGTAAATTACACTAACAGTTCCTATAGTTTGAGGCTCGTGTCACTTTAGTCTTTGACTTTTCAATTGTGACACATTTGACCATGAATTTTAAATTTTGTTTCAAATAAAGACAATTGAAGATACTATTGCTCAATTTGAAGGATAAAGTCGTCAATTCAATAAAACATAAACTAATTTGACAGAAATAAATGTCAAAAAAGTATTTTTGAATTTTTCAAAATATTTTCTACCCACCAAAGATAAAATTATATAAAATTGATAAATCTTTTTGACATTTATTTATTTTTTATTTTTGCCAAATTAACTTTTATATTGTGTATGGATGATGATCATGTAATGAGTGGTTGTCAGGCTTTTAAAGTATAATTGATATATATATGAAATGTTTATAGTTTTGGATTTTTTAATTTAATAGATTGGTTTAATAATGATATTAAAATTGTCACCATATTTGACTTTTAGAAAAATATAAACTAATTTAATGAAAATAAAAATAACCACCCATTATATGATCATCATCCAAATACATAATAAAAATTAATTTGGTAAAAAAAAAATAAATGTCTAAAATATTTATCAATTTTACATAATTTTATTATTAGTTGGTAAAAATAATTTTTAAAAATTTAAAAATATTTTTTTGACATTTATTTTTGTCAAATTAATTTATATTTAATCAAATTAACGATTTTATCCTTGGAATTGAGCAATTGTATTTTCAATTGTCTTTATTTGGAACAAGATTTAAAATTTAAGGACAAATGTGTCATAATTGAAAAGGTAAAGACCAAAGTGATATAAGACAAAAACTATAAGAACTGTTAGTGTAATTTGTCGTTATTAATTTATTCAAAAATGTAAACTATTAGAGAAAAGAAATAACTTTATTAATTACTGTCTTCAGAATAAGGAAAAAAACAGAAGAAAAAAAAAAAAAAAAAGAAAGAAAAAGAAAAAGAAAAAGAAAAAGAGAAGATCTGAACAAAAGTCATATATGCACAGAAGAAAGTCCCGAGATAGAGTTAGATCTCACCCCCACTTTTCACAATTCAGTAATAGAAGAAAGTAGTCCGAAGATCGAGTTAGATCACCCCAACTTCTGACAATTTGAGTTCTACAAGAAACAGATTTACTCGCTTCACTCTAGAATATGAGCTACTATCTCTTCGATAACTGGACAAAAATTAGTAATTGGGTTTGACTTGGACGCTAGCCATATTGCATTGCGTATGCCATTGCCTCGGTTTGCGTGCCCGTGTGCACACATTTCGAGGCACTTCATTTTCATCCATCGACCTCTTATGTGAGTATGGCTGAGGCTCTCTCATGCTAGTGTAAGCCCATATCATATTTCCATGTCATTTACATTGCGTCTGTCATTTTCTCAGTTTGCGTGCCGGTGTGCACGCATTTCGAGGTATCTCATTTTTACAGCATAGTGCATACTAGGTTGTATCTTAGATCGCATTCTGTTATTTTCTCAGTTTGCGTGCCCGTGTGCACGCATTTCGAGGCATCTCATTTTCATAGCATTGTGTATTTAGGATTGTATCTTAGTCGCATTTCATGCATGTCATGCATATTGCATCGTGTTCGGGATAGGAGTTAGCCCGGGCACAGGAAACGAGGTGCGTTTCGTACTGCGAGTGACGGAACGTGTCTCAAATTCCAAGTCACCGACACCCCGGATCATCCATGATGGAGTTAGGTTCTTGTTGTGTTTATACGTGCCCATGATGGAGTTAGGTCTTGTTGTGTTTTCATGTGTATCCATTCTATATAATTGTGCAATTCGACTCCTCGGCCATCATGCCTCGATATGCGTGATTGGTGGCACGAGGATCGAGGCATGCATATATCTGTGAAAATACATTGCTATGCCCCTTTCCTGCTCTCTGTTGCAGCAAATCAAGAATCAGCAACTTTTTGGAGTTTAGCGCGCATTTCAAGAATAACTGCTAAA